CCCCCCCAAAAAAAAAGAACAAGATAACAAAATAGCCCATTGGGTAATAAAATAAAGAAAACGCGTTAAGTAGCACTACTATGTATCATAAAGTAAAGACATTTTGAGTTGGACTGAAGAAAAAGAACATTTTTTGAGAAAAGGATACAAGGCCTGATGATACCACGTTATCAGTGTGAGTGTTTAACCAGAGAAGTGAGGTTCTGATACAGTTATCAGAAGAGTTGTAGTTAAGGAACTGGGAAAAGATTTCCCAGTTGGTATTAATATCACATTAGTACTGTAAAAAAAATAGTTATTGCTGCAATATTCACCTTCAATCCGGAGATTTTCCCTGCGGTACTTGTTTTCTGACACTAAATGTCCTCAGTCTGATGTCCAGTATCATTCAACCCACATCCCCCCAAGAAGCAGCAAAGGGATTATCTCATCTCTCTGTTACTCTGCTTTCTCATCCTATGAGCATGATTCATGAAGGCACATGAACTGATGGGCTTCTGAATGATAGTACATAAAGTAAACCTGCATTAACTTGAGTACCCAGTTATGGGTAGGAGGGAAATATAAAAAAACAGGATTCTTGCTAGGATATGATTGGTTGCTCTAAATAAACAGCATTTCTTACTAAACTCTGTGAACATTCACTTAGCAAACAGCCTCCCTTTAGTAAATTAACCCCAACATTGGGCCTGGTGAAGGACAGCAGACTTAGAATGCCATGGGGAAGTACCCTTGCTCTCTGGTCTTGAAGCATTGGCCTGACAGTCAAAGACGGAGGTCTCCAATCAGCAGAGCACATGGACCCTGCAGACTGAAGAGCTATAGGTCTTACAGACGGCACCCTGGGAACCACGAGACTGCACCCTGGGAACCACGAGACTGCACCCTGGGAACCACGAGACGGCACCCCGGGGACCACGAGACGGCACTCTGGGAACTATGGTCATGAAGATATATGATGTCCTGAAACTAACAGCTTCAGCACTGGGGCCTGGTGGTGGGTGTAAAGACAAGACAATGTCTTTCAATATCTGAGATAAGCAGTATTCTGTTCATAAACCCAGAATGTTTCCCTTTCTAATAAATAGGGAGTGACTTTTTACTCAGGCTGTGGCTGCTAACTAGAGGAAACGAACTGTAAGACTTTAATGTACCCGGATACTTTTAGTGGATTTGGGGCTTGCTCACGCCAGGACTTCTCATCCTGGAGTTCCACAGGAGTCAATTACATGGGCTCTTGATGATGATGCCTCAGTAATACAGGTCAAGTGCATACGAAGCTTCATTACAGCAATCATTTTGATGAAAGACTTCTACCAGAAATTGAATAGACTGATTGAGCAGTTTGCTCAATAAGCCATCGTCTTTATCGAAAAGGAACTATGTGTTCATTCGCCCGCACATTATTGCATGTGCAAAGGTTTGCCATTGTTTTTAATAGAGCTAGTTCACATGTATGTGGTGCAGTGACATGTGTTGGCCAAAAAAGAAGGCCATGTGCATTTTTTTTAAATCCGTTAATGTGCGTTATAAGGTCTTTTAATAGGATTGGCATTACACGTCCCAAAGCAAAAAAACGCATGAAAACGGAGACGCATAGGTGTGAACCAGCGTGGTTTGCGGCTGACAAATCAACCAATTCTTTTCTTTGTTGAGCAGTGTAGAGGTGTTCCAGCCCTGCTTCTCGCTGCCTCACCTCTTTGGTCTAGCACAGCAGGAGAGTCTCGCTGGCAGAGAAATGACCATTGTGATGTTGGGGAGCTCATAGAGCACTCGCACATGGTTTTTTTCCATTAACAAAAGTCTTTATTATTCTTTCAACAGCAGATAATCAAGGAAGCCCAACATAAAATAGCTTGTCTTCAGCAGAACATATATTGGCTCACCAATCACCAAGTTGTCCCACACACTCAGTGTCCCAGTCTTTTAATAGTTTTCTCTTGCAGCACTGCTGCTCCGGCCTCAATCCGCAGGGCCACTGTCTGTTTCCTCCAGACAATCTCAATTTTCGTGCTAACCTGCACAATAGGCTTCACAAGCCTGCAGCTCCCAGCTGCACTGGCCTCCACTCTGACTCCTGGGTGGAGTTTTCCTGTCTCCCAGGTGGGGCCCCCAATACATCCCAGCACCCTCTTCATGAGGGTTGTACACAGGTGCACAATTAGATTCTGGTCCCTACTAAACCATGGACCCAGGAATGGAGGTTTCATCCCACCCCGAGCTCTACGAAATCTCCCGGTTCCAGGGTCCCAACTATGAGCCAGAAAACATGGAAAGGACTGAAAAGCCAGCTCTTTCCTGATACAAGCAATTGCTTCCTGGAGTCACTCAGCCACTACGGCTGAGAATCCTGGGTCACTTAACACCGTGGTATTGCCACACCATGTATAGTGAAGGAGGGAGGGTAATGCAGAGTAGCACACAGTCTGAAATGATTACTGTATATTCCATGAATATGTTCTGAGGGGTTCCAGAGAATGACTTCTAATGTTGCTATTTAACCTCTTGCCGTCCGCCCGTAGTAAAAAAACGGACGGACGGCACTGCAGCATCTGCGGGTTGCCGTCTCCAGACGGCAATTTTTTTCTGCTCGCGCGCGCCCCCTAGCGGGCACGCACGGGCAGAAAAGACCCGCTAAATGCACACACCCGTTACCGGGTGTTTCACATATAGGCGATCGGCGGGTCCATAGCCCAAATATTCGAATTGGTATCACCAAAGAAGATTCGGGTGTAGTAGGGATCGTCTATCAGGAGAGTCTAATCCATCACCGACATTTATCCTGCTGGTTATTTTTTGGTAATCCTAGAATAGGCCACATTGTGGATTTCTAGGTATACAGGTCCAGCCACACGTCCTCAGTTGGTGACGCCAAATCTATATTTGCATATACTACAGTATAGAGAGCAGAATCACAGACCGCAATATGCTGAATAAGCTCTTCTGATTTATGAAGGTGTGTGATATGTTTTTATATAAATAATCCACATGTCATGCAGTTTTTTGGCTGCTCAGATGTTGGTGACTTCCTGGGGACTTTTTGTGATCTCACATGTCCTCAGACTTTTTTGAATAACTTTGCTTGATTCATTTTGGCCGCGAGTTTTGTTGATCACCGATGTCACAATGCACATTGAAATAGAGACAAAAGCAGCAATTATGAATCAAATTGCAAACCATTTCCTATCAAAGTTGACATTTTTAAATGTATCTTTCCAACTCAGGCAATTGGAGGGCCTGGAGCCTTCAGTATAGGAGAAGGTAAGTACAAATTTGCTAAATGGCTTAGGAGTGTAGAAGTAATTTTGCAGAGTTATTTGCCTTGCGAGTTTCTGTGAACGTTTGATCTGTGTGAATAGAGGCAAAAACAAATGTTAGTATATTTTCTTTTCAGGTCAAATGTAATATAATGCTACATTATGGCCACTAGATGGAGCCGGGATACATAGGAGATGAATACTTCTTTCCTGTGCTCCTCAGCACCATCTAGTGGCCATGATGTGGGATTACATTTGACCTGAAAAGAAACCACTTACAAAGCCATCCACAACTCTGCCCCCGGCTATATATCAAAGCTTGTCTCAAAGTTTCACCCCAACTGTCCTCTCTGCTCCTCCCAGGACCTCCTGCTCTCTAGCTACCTTGTCAACCCTTCAAATGCTCACCTCCAGGGCTTCTCTAGAGTCTCTCCCATCCTTTGGAACTCCTTACCCCAACCTGTCTATCTTCTACTCAGTCCACCTGTCCAGACTCATCGCTTCAGGGAAGTTTGCATTCTGTTGCAAATTAATCTGAATGGCATCCAGACATACTGCTCGGCATGCGTGTACTGTGCTGCAACACACAATACCGCCATAGCAGCCACACAGAGTATATAGTGTTAGAGTGTGTGCTGAACGCTGTGCCTTTAACCCATGCTATGGTGTAATCCTCCGCTTAATAATTCTGCATTCCAGTCACTTCCCCGACACCCACACAGACGGGTTTTTTTTTTTGTAGAAGCCAGCAACAAAATTCCGGCACGCCTATTGATTTGGTAGTCAAATCAATCGAGAGATCACTAAATCGATCAAAAGGAGGGTCTTTGATTTCCGATTGTCATTCAGTTTGATGAATGATCGATTCTATGAGTCCTGACCTCAACCCGATAGAACACCTTTGGGATGAATTAGAGCGGAGACTGCGAGCCCGGCCTTCAACATCAGTACCTGACCTCACAAATGTCAAACATTCCCATAGCCACACTCCTAAA